GATATAACTATGTCAAGTCAGTTTTCATAACACATTTCAATTACAACTTGATGTAGTTCCTAACTGGGATACAATTTAAAGTAGTTTGTAATAGACAAAAGGCCCTTAAATATAATAAAACTCGAAGTTTAAAAAATTTACTAAATTACAAATAGAATGCAACACTAAGAGAATAGTCATAAAGAAGGGCAATCAATGAACAAAAGACAAAACCGGGAACAGTTAAAACACAAAATGACAAACATTATAGACAATCAACAATGAAAAATGAAAATAAATGAGAAAAATGGATCTCAAAAACCAGGGGCTACGTCAGAGGGTGAACAGAACTTGCTTCTTGCAAGACACTTGCCGTGAAAACAATTTGATATGAAGACAAGCTTTTGTTTTGAAATTTCAAACATGAGGCATTTGCCTCAATGTAGTTACGGCCCTGTAATAAAATGTGAGGTAAATGTTCACGAGACAATATACCTCAAGTGGTATGAAACCCATTTTCAAACATTTCAAATACATTAATATTTATAGTATTAAAAGATTTAGGAAGTTTTATAAAAAAAAACGAATTTTGGAAGAACCTGGTGCCATCTCATACTTCAAAAAAGCATTTATAAAATGGCTTAAAAGACCTGTCAAGTTATTTTCAATACATTGTAAGTCAGGTTATTTATTTTCAAACTACCACAGAACAAACCATTCATTTTTGTTATTATCAAGGCTGAGTTATTTATTTTCAAAATCCTACAAGTCTGAAATTGGGTGGTGTCACTTTTACCGTTCTTTAGTTTTGCTCCTTTATAAACATAAAAATTGCTGAATTTTTCGTTTACACAATGCTTATTACCACAAAACTCAGATCAAGTACAAATTTAGGTAGAATCACTTTTACCGTTCTTCACTTATGTCCTTTATATCTTTTATGCTATGCAAGCGGGGGCATCATCTGTGTCCATGCATGGACACAATCCACATTTTTGGTTATTATCTTGAATATTATTATAGATAGAGATAGAGATAAACTGTAAATAGCAATAATGTTCAGCAAAGTAAGATCCACAAATAAGTCATCATGACCAAAATGGTCAATTGACCTGATAAGGAGTTATTGCCCTTTAAAGTCAAATTTAACAATTTTTCGTAACTTTTTTTAATTTACAAAAGTCTTCTCCTGAAACAACAGAGACAAATAAACCAAATTTGGCCACAATCATCATTAGGGTATCTAGTTTTTAAAAACATGGCAGATATGGCTAAAAATAGAACATAGAGGGAAAATGCAGTTTTTGACTTATTTCTCTGAAACTAAAGCAAAAGTATAACGGTTGCATTATTTCATGCATCAATTGTAAATAAAAATATCAGGTGAGAGACACAGGCTCCTTGGAGCCTCTAGTTTGGTGTATGCAATAATTGTACATGTTGTAAGGTGCACATGTCTGTCTGGCTTGGTTTATCTGAACTTGACCTTAATATTTGCTTGACAGTATATTTTCATGAATCATTGGTAATGTTAAGTTTATTTGATACTTATCGTAAACTTATAATTATTCTTATATCTTTAGGACAAGCACCATAAAACAGTGGGGACATACAAATACCTGGAGTCCGTCTATCCCTTTGGCCTTATAAGCGCTCTCACTTGCATGTCTTGTACAATTCTTGTCAAATTTTTAGGAAACTTATTTTGATAGGTTATATCAACAATGTCTGACAAGTTTTAAAATCAGTGCCAATCAATCATTTTTAAAAGAGTTATGCCCCTTGAAAACATTTACTATTTGGACAATTGCATTGTTAGGGCTCTTGTGCACAATTCTTGCCAGAATTTTATGAAATTGATATTAAATAGGTTTATATCATCAGAATGATCAGAGCATTTTGATTTTCATCTGTAATATTTACAAATTCCAGGTTTCATGGCAAATTTCAACCATTATAAACCACCACAACCTCCATAGCAGAGGTAATCAAAAAGTAGTGCAGCAACAAACAACAACTATTAATATTCCACTCCAGTTAATCCGACACACAATATACATATATGATTATATACATAGATATATGAAGATGTGGTATGAGTGCCAATGAGACAACTTTCCATCCAAGTCACATAAAAGTATGTATATATATATGGAAATTAAATTGATGTTATCATTTTTGCTTGAATGGTAAGGCAATATTTAATTTGATGTATATTTTACAAAATAATATATGCTGGGTTTTTTTTTTATTACAGCAAATGTATTCCAAGAGTTTATGGCTGATTATGCAACTACAGGATTTTATCATTGAAGCAACATCTTAGAAGGATAAGTGCAAATGTATGAATGAAGCCTTGTGTACAAATACATGTAGCAATTACATGCAGGAGAGAACACTTAAACATTACTAACATGTAGTCATGATATTGGAGTGGTGCATTCTAGAAATCTAAACACGTGGAATTAAATATTGTGTATATTTTTTTTCAACCACAAGTACTTTCAGCATATAATACAATTCAAATTCAAATTATTGTGTCAACATGACAGTTACTGTCTAAAAATGGACAATGCTTGTTTTAAAATGAATTTTATATAAAATATTTTAAATAACAAGAATTTTTAGCTTATTGTGCAGCCAAACTTTGAAATCTTTTAATGGTATATGCCTGTTGTTTTTCAACCTTTATTTTCTTTTTGACTTAGCCTTAAGATCAGTGTTAAACTGAAAACCATATATGAAATAAGAAGGAAATGGTTGTAAATAACAGCAAGACTTTCAATATGGTATATCAAATATATTTCACAGAACTTTCTATTTCAGTTTATTAATACAATGAGATATGAGGTTTAAATCAATCAGACAGTAACACAACAACAAAAACACCTGAAAGGCATTAAGGTGCTAACATACAGTCCTCAACAATAGACAGGTGTCTAAACAATATGTCATAATCTGTTTAATTGACCAGAGTACATGAGTATGTGGCAGGGTGAAATACCTTTTTTCTTCAAAACTCTCATAAGAAAAATTGGCATCTTTTGCAAGTAAGACTTTTCCATAATGTGATTGGAATGTCTCGAAACTGATGAACACAAAAAGACTTATACATACATAATAAAAATGAAATATACATCAGTGCATAAAATTGAGAATGGAAATGGGGAATGTGTCAAAGAGACAACAACCCGACCATAGAACAGACAACAGCAGAAGGTCACCAACAGGTCTTCAATGCAGCGAGAAATTCCCGCACCCGGAGGCGTCCTTCAGCTGGCCCCTAAACAAATATATATACTAGTTCAGTGATAATAAACGCCATACTAAACTCCAAATTGTACATAAGAAACTAAAATTAAAAATAATACAAGACTAACAAAGGCTAGAGGCTCCTGACTATACATCTTCTATAAATGAATTACCTTCCATACATCAAATCAAAAAAAATATTGAGACTTGAATACAACAGAAAATGTTCTAGGAGTGAACTATGGTGCCCTGGATATTTGCTTGCCTTCTTGGTTTCATTGCATCTTATCTGCTGCATTGAAGATATTGTAATTTGGAGTTGATGAATAAATATTATTTGTATTGTTGAGGACCAAGAAATTTAAGATACAAAGAGAAAGTAAAATAGAATGGAAGTATGAATACATCCTCAAGACCAAAAAGAATATTTATATATATCAAAATAGAATGTGTAATAGATTAGCATTTACTTATCTAAAATATGCTCAAATACTGTGAAATTTGTGTGATTGAGACTCAATTCACCTTAATTTCATTTAAAAAAAATAATGTGAAAGCTCGATTCACATTAATTTCACGTGAAAAATTTAACGTGAATTTCACGTGAAAGCTCGATTCACGTTAATTTCATGTGAAAAATTTCACGTGAAGATCACGTGAAAGCTCGATTCACGTGAAATTCATGTAAATTTAACGTGAGTTTCACGTGAAAAATTGCACGTGAGTTTCATGTATAAGCTCGTTTGAGGTGAATCTCACGTGAAAAATTTCATGTGAAATTCACGTGATTTTCACGTGAAATGTACGTGAACAAAATTTGCCTGTGTAACGTAGCCATGTATCTCATTTATTTGTAAGGGAAATACAAAGATACCAAATTTTTTTTTTTAAGTCCTTGAAAAGTTAGCTATCAATTAACACAAAAAGTATCTATTCTAAACGGGAAGTATCTGATCATTTCCCTTATTTCAAAAGAATGTACATGGTTTATCTATGCAAGATAATTTATCTTATGATATTGGTCTTTTTTTCGAAGGTTAATTTTTTGTAACTAAAGTGTCTATATAAAAATGCACTACTTAAAAATATTTATTACATTGGTTGCAATGAAATACCGTTATTTCCCAACGAAATAAAAACCGATAATTTTACATGTGAAATACACTCGATAATTTCACTCCTCTGACGTCATACTACAATAGGTGTTGCAAGACGTAATCAATGACGTTGCATCAAACAAATTGTGAATGCATAGAAAAAATATAGTTCCTTGCATTTTCTTCTTTATTTCTATTTAAAAGCCCGTTGTCAATGTAATAAAAAGAACAACTAATCAAAGAATTCAAATATCGAAAAACATTCGACTCGTGACCGGACAACACTGATTATTAACTCATGCGCTACGGGCATTTGTGAATTAATGTTTTGTTCGGTCACTGGTTAAATATTTTTCTATATTTGAATTCTTCGATTATTTATTCTATAGAGACAAACAACAATTGTTAAGAAAATAATGGAGGGTCTATCCGCCTCACATGTTAATTATCAACATGTGAAGCAGTAAGGCCTTCCATTTTTTTTCTGATCAATTATTGTTTTATTTTATTTCTAAGATACTGTTCTTTTATTCTTTTCATTTCTATTTTTAAGTGATTTGTTAATGAAATCGTATACATGTAGCAGACCAGTACAAACACAAGAAAATAAACAACTTAAACAATAACATTTGTTTGTAAATATTTTTAAACAACAGACATGCATATATTTACCTAGTGGTTTATCTTCATGTGCACCTTTTTTCCTAATGTTTAGCAATGATGAGTCAGTATTTTGTATTAGTCCTGGTGTAGTTATAGCGGCATTTGTTACACCATTTGATTGATTTACTAAAAAAGAGGAGACTTGTTCATCTCATGAAGTAAAAGTCCTGTTTTTAAGTAAAAGGTACTTGCACAATTTAAAACTTCTTAAACTTATCATAGTAATACAATTTTCTTTTCTGAGAGAAATCCAATAACAAAAAAACAGCATTAAATGTACACAAACGTGCACCGGTCTGTGCAGCACTTGATTATGGACGCGGATTTGTATTTGTTTTCTATAGCACTCAAGACTAGTTGAGTACCAAGCGGAAGAGGTTCTAGGACTGGTGAATAAAAGCAGACAAAGTCCCTAATGCAACTTCTGGGCTTAACATGACTTGCAAGCAAACCTCACATGGAATATTGTATCACATACGGACTGTTATAGCACACATATCATATTCTTTCTTGTATTGTCATGATTGTGCCCCATAGATAAGTACCTTAATACCATGACGGTACTTTTATATAAATGAAAAATAAATGTCCTTCACTTGTACGTATGTAGAACACATCACAGTTTAAATTGCTACCTCTTGTACCTTATTTTTTTTTTTCTTTTGTATAAAATTACCTGTTTACAAATCCCCAAGAAATATGTTATAGAATTATCGATCAAATAAACTGTTATTACTAAAAGAATGCATGAACAGTAATATTCGTGTTTACGCATTGTAATTTATCATGAGGTTATTTCAGTTGATGTGATATCCAAACAACTAAGATTGAAAGAAAAAGAAACAGTTGGGCAATGTTATTAGCAATAATATTCAAAATATTAACAAACACTTACAATTCAATACTTTTTGTAAGTTTACAAGTCATAATTGATGATGCAATATTAAACATTAAACATCTAGAAATTGACAATGAGGGTCGGTTGAAAACAAAACTTTACGACAAAAAAGATGATTTCAGCTTCCCAATTGTGAACTTTCCATTTCTATTTAGCAACATTCCAGCAGGGCCTGCATACAGAGTATATATCTCCCAATTGATACGATATTCCCGGGCTTGTATTTCCTATCAATATTTCTTTGATAGATGATTGCTGCTCACAAGGAAGCTATTTAACCAAAAGTTCCAAATGGTGAAGTTGAGATCATCCCTTCGAAGCCATCACGAGTTGGTTAACCGTTATGGAATAACCGTTTCACAGATGATATCGGATATGTTCCTTATGTCGTAACTACAACACTCTTCCCTTTTCACGAATGTGACCTACCGAATTAGACTATTTACCGGATTTGTAATAACAGAAGCAACACGACGGGTGCCACATGTGGAGCAGGATCTGCTCACCCTTACGGAGCACCTGAGATCACACCCAGTTTTTGGTTGGGTTCGTGTTGCTTAGTCTTTTGTTTTCTATGTTGTGTCATCTGTACTATTATTTGTCTGTTTGTCTTTTTTATTTTTGGCCATGGCGTTGTCACTTTGTTTTCGATCTATGATTTTGAATGTCCCTCTTTTTTAAGGACAAGCGGTCGATACCAAAGGGATGTTTAAAGTCATCAGTCGAAGACAAATGGACAACAGTCAAAAGAGTGACGATTCACTACGTTCATTGCCTAAAGCTTTTAAGACATATATTATAATCTATAGTTAAACACTGATCCAAATGTTCATAACATTTATCCTGATATGAAGCATTTCAATGTAGAAAATATACATATTATGTTGCATTTCCTCTTGTCAAAAGAAATTTCAAAATTGTGTAATCTAGCATCTATCTGAATCAAAAATACAAACAAATTATTAAAATCGCATTTTCCATTACTTGTCGAATGTCTTTAATATCGAACAGCAAACCGATTTCTCTTTTTTTGTCAGTTTTTGCATGGTTTACAGTAACATTATCAATTGACTGATAAAAGGTGTTTAACGCTACTTTCAATACAGTTGGCCACTCTAAGTTTAGAAATGTTGACGATGTTTTTCGTTTTGCGGTATTATATTTGGCATTTCAGAGGGTCATATTTTCCTAGACTGTTAATGGTGTTTGTACACTAAATTTATTGAATGTGTATTGATTGATAATTGTACTTGGATTTATGATTTTGTTGTTTAGTTGGTTTGTAACTAGTCTTCAGTAACTGCAAGTACTCTCAGACCAGTAGTTTTTGTCTTCAGTTTTTTGCTACTTGTTTGTTTTGCTTGATGTCGATCTGATAATCAAGCGCTTTTCAACAGATTTTCATAGTCTGGTCAAATTGTGTGATGTTTCACCGCTGTCTAAGGTATTGAGGAGGGTTAGGCGAGCGCAATCCTGTTTTATGCCCGACAAATGCTATGTGTGCCCGCCTAAGTCAGGAGCGTGTAGTTGAATGGTTATCGTTTATTGGTGATTATCATATTTGTTTTTCGGGATTGTTTTGTATTATTTGTTACTGTTTTGTGCTGTTGCACCACTGTTAGGCGACCACACACATTTTCAACCAGTCACATTCTGTATGTGTATGTATCAAATCAGGAGACTGTAATTTAGTAATTGTTGTTTGTGACTTTATATCATATTAGTTTTCAATTTGTTTATTTGTTCATAAATTAAACATTTGGGTTTCTGATTTCAATTGTTCTACATTTTGTTATGTTCATAGCTTGCTATGTGGTATTTGTATTACCGCACGGTGACCTATAAATACTAACATTTACGTCATTTGGTCTCTGGCGGATAGTTGTCTCGTTGGCAGTCATACCACATCTCCTTATTTTAGAAAGTCCAGGCTAGGAAATCTTAAAGCCATGACTATCAACTGAACACTTTTTCACTATAAAACTATAAAAAAAAGAAGATGAGGTATGATTCCAAATGATACAAATCTCCACAGGAGACCAAATGACATAAATGTTAACAACTATAGGTCACCGTACTAATCTGAACTTTGGAATATCTGATCGATATATTGCTAAGGGTAGAAAAAACGTTGTCTTGTCTACTACTAAAAATGCATCTTGCTGGATTGCTTTTTTTTGTACACATCGATACATGTATATCTTTAATAAAACAACAAAAGGAACACTTGATACGGTCTTACATTAACAAATTATGATTACAATAATCGTTATCACAAAACAAATCACATGATCTGTCTGGCTCGATGTTTACATATCTATTTACTAGCGACCGATGCTGATTTTGACGTTTCAAAGATACATGAACAATACAAGCCTTTGTACATTAAAATGTTCACATTTGGGAATCATTTTGCAAATATTAAAATCTAAAAATTTTATGAATGATGAATTCGATGTCTGCATTTAAATAAAAATTATAGAATATTCTTTTCAACCAACATTTTGTTCCAAGCAGAACAACCCTGCTGATAAATGGACCTTTTTGTAAAAAGCAGTACCTACTTTAATGTTATGATTATTTTATGAAGAAAAACCATCAAAAGACAAGTAAAGACAAGGGGAAAGTCATAGAAACCATTGATCAGATTACTTAAGTTTTAGCTTAATGTATAACAAAGTAGATAATTGGCAATTTAATCACTGGTTGTGTAACCGTGGCCTCATGCTCACATTATCATTATTTCCTAGACAAATTCTGAATCCATGCGAACATATTTTGGTCGGTTCTTTGAATATTTTGCTTAATCCTAGAAAGTCGAAAGATTTAAATTCTGTTAAAAGTAGAGAGAACAAGGTGCCAAGGTGACAATCAAAATTATTTATGTCTCGAATGAAAAACAATACCATGGACAAAAAAAGAAGACAAAGCATCATATATATAACAGTTAACAATGCACTACACAAAAACATAAAGATTGAACGATTTGAGTCCAATGACGAATCATGGTTCTGCTAATGGATAAAATGTCCCTTCTCCAATATTGTAATGAACACTTTGGATATCTCAGGTCAGAGACATGTCCGACGAAAAGCCGCATTCAAAATACAGGATTTTGGCTTCGAGAAGTAGAACAACACAATGGTTTACTGTTACATCCATACCATTCAAATGAACTCAGTAGTAATAGTGTCCGTAAGTGATTCGAAAAAAAGATTCCTCCATTATCATTTATAAACCTAATTCAAAACCTCATCAAATAAGAATCAAATCTCTATGAACGAAATAATGGTAGACAACACATGCCAATACAAAATAAATTCTGCTCAGAAATAAGCAGGAATTGCTTAAATCTTACATATGTTATGAATTTTATTATAGGAAAAACTTCCTTTTTACATAAGTATAACTCTCAGTTTGCCCTCATAATTAGCTAAAATTAAAGATCTAAATGCCAGCGGAATGTTCAAAATCACGTCGCCTTAACGTAATATACAGTATGGCACTATGAACGTAAGTGACGATTTTTGTGTGAAACATATTTTTTCGAAAAACAATTGTTATGAAGGGAAATGAAAAAAAGGGAAATATTCCTTTACTTATTCCTTTTATTCTTTTTTAGAACAGCATTTCAATTAAGTTACCACTACTGCAGTTCTGTAATGTCACGTTGAGAAGAAAAGTAATATAGTGCTTTACAATTAACGGTATATTTGTACTGCTATAGATAGGCATTTGGACAATCATATCCTCTTTACTGATGCTCGGGACAAAACTATTTGACTTAATACAAACGTTGAACAGCTGATCAAAGAAAACTGAACCCAAAGTAAAGTCTAACTCTGACGACGATACAGAGATATGTAAGAGCAGATACATAACTTAATTTGAAATCATTTCTATCTTTCATAAAAACTCAATAGATATACAAAATGTGCAATGAAAATAAGAGGAACTATCAAGATTGATCAAAATTATCAATATGTCTTGCAATCGTCTTATGTTTGCTATTTTATTGACTTTTGTATCTTCTTGTTACTACAAAATACTTAATCAAAAGTTTGTAAATTAAGATACGAGATTGAAAAGTGGGAAAGTCTTTATTACCGATGTTCGAGTTCAAGAACAAACGGTCAAGATGGTTTGTAATTGTAATAAGAAATTTCAATATTTTTTGGTGAAAGTGCATAGTGAAGTCGGTGGTTTATGTTAATTTAAAACATGATGCCCAAAATTAAATACATACGTTGTTCTTTTTCCTCTTTAACTGTTGACAGTGAAGCTTGAGGCGCATTAGTAACTGGATCTGAAGAAAAATATTTTCTTTAAAAAAATATATTTGTGAGAACCTTGACATGACAAAAAATGGTATAATCAGCCAATTAGTTAGTGCTTCTTTACTAACATGATTTCTAACAATTATTTTGTAAACATCTCTTTTGAAAATTAAAGAAGTTACTAAGAAACTAAAGTTCCAGTAGATGGCTTTTCTTTTATAGTTCATTATTGACATACAGCCCGTACTGTATTCAGATATTTTAATATATTTAGCTTTCAAATGTTATGCATTTAGCTGACTTGATGAAAGCAATTCAGAAATTATTTCGGACACAGGAAATTTACAAAGTGCAGTTTTCCAATTGTGATGTACATACGATGTTCATATACATTCGATTTGTTTTGAACGCTACATCTTTCTTAACTGTGTTAATTACTTCTGGGCAAACTTGATACCTGTTTTACAAAAATAAGACGGTAGTGTAGAATTGCAATCAATGTATTCTGTATTCCATGAATTGTCTGTCACATTCAATCTTTTTGTTGCACATTTAACTAATTGGTGATTTTTAAGAACATCTGAAAAGGAAAACAAACAGAAATATCTAGATCGAATAGTTTTACTATCACAACAAGAAGATGTGACATGATTGCAAAAGAAATAACTCTCCATTAGGGACCACATGACACAGAACTTATCAAAAGTTAACAACTATAGGTCACCGTACGGCCTTCATAAATGATAGAATCCAAATTACATAGTAAGCTGTAAAAGCTGTAAAAGGCCCTATATGCATCGAAAACAATATTAAAACGAGCAAACTCACGTCCTGATTTATGTACGAAACAATAAACGAAAAAAAACAAATATGTTAAACAGCAACAAAAAACAATTACTGAACTACAGGTTTTTGATTTGGGACAGGCAGATACCGAATGTGGCAGGGTTACATAAACATCCTCCGTTTAACCTGGGACAGTGGTGTAATAGTTCTTCATAAGAACATACTATAGATCAGTTGAAAAATGCTTAACTCATCAGATCGATAAAAAGCACATCAAAACAAGAGAGGTACTGATCTCAGAGTACTTGCAGTTAGTAAAAGCTAGTTCAAAACTAATAACAACTTATAAAAATCATGTGTCTAAGATTAAAAAACTTTTTATAAATTTGGAATTCGATAGTAAAGTTAATTACTTTTTTATTTGAACATATATATTGAACAACCAAGGGTAAATGATGAAGAAATGATAAGTTAATGATCTTGATCTTTTCAAATTTAGACCAAACGAAGCAAGTGTGTATTGACACAAGAGTACTTAGAATGAACCAAGAAAACTCAATTGAGCTTTTTTACACAAACAATTAGTATTGTTAAAATTATTGACACTGACGTAGGCTATTTGTTAAGCCGAAATATTTGTCAACACGATTTTATAACATCATCTTTGTATATTACCACCGTTGTGCAAATCTTTAGACTTATATAATTTTTCCTGATCTGCACAGTATCGTCTATTTTAGACGATCCGGTACATATCAAAATTCCTGGTTGGTCCTTTTTATAGACCTCTATATATATATAATATCTAAACAAGTGAGAACTCTACGACAAATCCATCCATTGGATCACCAATGAAGGTGACACACGGCTGAAAACACATATTATATTCATAATTACTCTTAATATCAGCACAACAATGTAAAATCTGCAAATTTGGGGAAGAAAATTTTTGTTTTTCCCTCGCCGGGATTCGAACTCATGCTGTTGGAATATCGTGACATTACCGCCTGCACTGTGCCCAGCGCTCTAGACCACTCGACCACCTAGACTGAACAAAATTCAGCTTCCGGTGGCCTAATGTTACCTTTCCTCGTCAATAGAATCTAGAGTTGTAATGCAGTACATGATATATTAGGCATGAAGATGGAATAGATTGCAAATTAGCTAAATTATCTGTCGTAAATGATCGTAAGATGCAGTCGTAGAAATCTAGAAGTATAGAGCGCTTGGCACAGTGCAGGCGGTGTTGTCACGATATCCCAATAGAATGAGTTCGAATCCCGGCGAGGGAAGAACAAACATTTGCGTCCGCAAACTTGCAGATTTATCATTGTTGTTCTGATATTTAGAGTAATTATGAATATAATATGTGTGTTCAGACTGTGTATCACCTTCACTGGTGATTAAATGGATGGATTTGTCGTAGAGTTGTCACTTGTTTAAATGTACTTATTAAAATTATTATTTCTGTGACTGCATCTTAAGATCCTTTACGACAGATAATTTAGCTAATCTGCAATCAATTCCATCTTCATGCCTAATATACCATGTACTGTGTTACAACTCTAGATTCTACTGGCGAGGAAAGGTAACACTAGGCCACCGAAAGCTAAATTTTGTTCAGTCTAGGTTGCCGAGTGGTCTAGAGCGCTGGGCACAGTGCAGGCGATGTTGTCACGATATCCCAATTACATGAGTTCGATTCCCGGCGAGGGAAGAACAAAAGTTTGCTTCCGCAAATTTGCAGATTTAACATTGTTGTGCTGATATTTAGTATAATATACACGTATATACATTATATATAATATATATATTTATTTAAATAAATATATCCCCAGCTTCGTCTATTTCTCAAATTTCAATTATGTAATGACACATCGTTAAACAACATAGCCCCGGCTGTAGCTTAAACATATCATATATAAACGTTGCTACCCATTAATCCTGAGGTATTTTTATTCGCGTTTTCAATGCTATTTTCTTGAGTTCCATCGCTGTTCCAAGTGAAAAAATGAATACTGAAGACATTCATGATTTGTATAACTAATCATATAATCCACTAACGATTTATGCCGATTGTTGGCCCTCATTTTAGTAAATGCATCACTTGGCTACCACGTCGTCAATGACAGGAACTATAATGACCTAGCGATTCAAAAGGCATGTGTTGACGTCACGCTGTCTATGACGTAACGCTTGCACCATTGAGCGCCAAATTTGACTTATTCTTGTTTCTCTGTCTTGATTAAAAACGTCTTATATTTAAATGAAATTAAAAGTTGCTTTTACGTTATAAAAACTTGGTATGATATGATTGCCAGTGACACAAATGTCTTCCAGATTTGAACTGAGGATGATGTTAGCAATTATAGGCAGCCATACGGCCTTCAACAACGAGATAGACCTATACCAAATAATCGGCAATAAAAGGCCCCAACATGTAATATATGAAATAATGCAATTGAGATTACTAACGGCCTGATTTGTAAACAATTTACGAAAAACAAAAATGACAGATATAAACCGACGACAACAGCAGAATAACAGGCTCCTGACTAGGGACAGGCACATAAAGAATGTTAAACATGTTTGAACAAACTATAAAAATCAGTTGTAAAGGGCTTAACTCGTTAGATCGATACAAAACAGACAAACATCTAAAACAACAAAGACACTACCTTAGGCCTGAATTCTCGAAAATTTGACCGATTCTGACTAAATTCGTTATCTACGTTCGTATCCGTAGATATGCTTATTTTAAAACCCTGATGTACCCTGTACATCCTTTGGCTTCGCCTCAGGATGTAACAAGATACTTTTGGTTGTAAAAATACCCATACCTACGAATATGAATGTAGATAATTTATGATATATACACTGATATATGAGATTAAAATATCATTCAGCTTCTTTGTACTCCCTAGTTAATAGGTTCAAATAAATGCATAGTACCTTTTCCATTTCAACACATATTCTGATATTATCGATATATATATATATGTATTTTTATTTTCGATTTGATTGATTAGTAAATATTACCTTTACTAGAATGCATATCGTACCAAAACGATGTTTGTTCTCGGAAAATCCGTGTCCAACTTTTTGTAGTTACATAAGAACAACCAGAATCAAAATCGTCCAAAAAATATATGCCATACTTGGAAATACACTGTTGCAAACTTCTTTTCCATCCGAGACCCCAAGTATCGGTAACCAGATGATTCGCTAAAATATCATGAATAATTAAATTGTATCTAAATTGTTGATATCGTTTCCATTGTGTTTTTATAATATTTGCAGCTCATAAAATATAAATTCGTCATACAATGCAACGAATATTTGAAAAGTTACAAATGGTTATTGGAAACTTGGTTAAAAATCAAATCTATCATTCTTGTTTGAACATTACGAAATAATTCTTTAACTCTGTGATTTCAGTATTTAGGGCTTGCGTACATCTTTTCGTGGAAACCAAAAAGTAACAGCTATGCGTTTGTAACTCTTTTTCTAGTTTTTTATTTGAAATATTCTTTTCCATAAAATAAGTATCAATTATGGACTTTTGACGAGGTCAATACGTTATATATGGACCTGTTCAGATTACATTGACCGAGGACGAAGTCAATATAATATAACAGGTCCATATATAACGTATTGACTGAGCGAAAGTCCTTCATTAAAATATTGCATATGTAAATACTGTAAGTTTAAAAATGATATTGTGTCGATGTTACTATTTTTGGAAATGATATTGACCCTATGTAACTATTTTTAGTAACATAGAGTCAATATCATTTCTAACAATATGTCAAAATAGTGAAAAAATACAAAATATAATTTGGGAAACACGTGACCAAATAAACCAATTAGAAACAAGTAACATCAAACCATATCTAATATAAAGTAATATACAGTAACTGTCTTTTGATGAGGTAGATATGTAGTATATTGACTTTTGAAAAACTGATATTCACTGAGGAAAACAGTATTTTTTCAGAAGTCAATTAAACCTCATTTTTATACATGTAGAAACAAAAGACCATAATTGTTTTATTTCGTATTCCGAGAGAGACCATTTATGTAATGACAATCATTAGAATAGAATAAACAATTGAAAAATCAAACAATGTATTTATTTCATTTGTTTGCTTTTAATTAGTGTTTTTTGTTCTTTTTGATTGTTTTTTTTTTGGCATTTTATAACGATTCAATATTCCTCAATGATTCCTGTAACCAC